AAGAGCGGAAACTTTACAAAAGTGTTTGCAGAAGCAAAACAAAGAAAATGATTTTGATTGGTTGGAGTGGAAAGTCCCTAGTTAGAGGTTAGTAAGTGGTTTCTATCTAGTATAGTTTCTAGTTCCAATTTAACATTTACATTGTGCTCCGGTTTGTTCAAAAAGGAATTTAAAGTGCCCAAGTCACCCAGTCTAATGGCCTCCCAATTAGAATTGTTTGGGGCAATTATAATTTTCAAATACTTGATGTGAAAAAAATTGAAATAGTTATGGAATCTATTTTTATTATCACAATACATTTCAACATTATACTTGTCAATGAAAAAAAGGTTAGATTGTAAAATTTTTGTCAACTACCATGTAAGAACAGTTTCTTATTGATAGTGACCATCAAAAATGAGAACAGATCATTCCTAAGATGTCTTGATCAGGAATTGCATGTAGCCATTTCAAGCACATAAACTCGTATTAGAAAATTATACCTGTGGAAGCAACTTCAAACTTCTTATCCAAATTTCTATAAACATTTTATTAGGAATATACAACTTTAATATTTAATGTCTTCTCTGATACTTTGTTAATTTTCTTATAATTATGTAACATAGAACATAATATTTTTTCTGCTTTATAGATGACTCCAAATGCTTTCTCCTTTACCTCTGTGCACCATGTGTTCAACAGTTTCGAACACTGTTTAGGCTCTTCGTTGCATTGGAGGCTGGTGTTGAGGAGAAAAATAGCTTTTATTTCTGTACTTACGCAAAATTTTACAATAAGCATGTGTTGCTTTTATGATTAAAAATATCAATAAGGACTTTAAGTAATTTAAAATAAAGTAATATAGTATAAAAGCATTTAAAATGTAAAATTAGCAATATTTTCTTAAAAATTAAATAATACTGGATCACAGGCACCAAAATAAGACACTTTATAACAGTAAGGAGGGACAGGCCAACCAGTACAACCTTCCTAATTGGCAATTTGACAACATGTATCAAGAGTCCAAACAATGTTCAAAACCTTTGACCCAATAATGCCTTTTCTGAAATCTAGTCTAAAGGAAATAATTTTCAATACTGTAGGAAAAATACTATACATGTAATGGCAGAACTTTTTATGTATCAACAAAATTTAAAACAACTTAAACAGCCGGGCGCGGTGGCTCACGCCTG